GGGAGTTTTTCGCAAACATTTTCTAGATGTCAAAAGATTGCCATAAGACTAACAATAAAATAGAAACAGACGGCTTTACCGCGGTCGTTCCGCGTAAAACAAAACGCGTTCGTTAACGATAAGTTGCATTCCAGCACTTAGTTATTAAAGGTTCACCTTCTTCGAACGAATCTAAAATATTGACAGACAGAACATGTAGACCCGAATATTTTTATAATAATTTTTTTATAATGAATAATATGAAGAATTGTGATGTGTTCAATATTTTTGTTGTCATTGAGAAACATTTAACATCGCGGCCGTATCATGTTTTTCCTTACATCGTAAAAGTGATACCATTGTGAATACTCACGAAGAACAATCGTAGGCTTTATTTCGTTTAGCAGATTTTCCGATTTGCTCATTAGTAAATCTTTTTGGCCGGAGTTTGAAATTTGAAATACTCACGAAGAACAATCGTAGGCTTTATTTCGTTTAGCAGATTTTCCGATTTGCTCATTAGTAAATCTTTTTGGCCGGAGTTTGAAATTTGGCAGCAACAACACTTCTTGTAATGTTAAGCCATCAACTACCCGATAAGTATGAGTTATTGAACTTTAGACATGTGCGTGTATGTGCATGTGTGTGCTTGCAGGTGTGTGTGTGTGAGTGAGTGCTTTGTGAGTTTGTTGTCAGTGTTTTATTGTGTGTGGCTGGTTGTGTATATACGTGTCCGTGTAAATATGTATGCATGTCTGTGTGATGTCTGTGTGTCTGTGTGTGTGTGTGTGTGTGTGTGTGTGTGTGTGTGTGTGTGTGTGTGTGTGTGTGTGTGTGTGTGTATGCATGCATCTATGCTGGCGCTAGCGATCATTCTTTCAGCAAACACTTCATTTAAGTTGAAGAACGTCATAGACGTGTGCAGACTTCTGGGAAGTAAGCAAATTCCAAACGTCATGCGTCGGTTGCTGGCGCGGAAGTTCAATTAAACGTCTTGATTGACCTGCTGACGCGGAGCAGCTGACTGTTTCAACGACGAAAGAGTTAATAACTATGGTAACTTTGCTTTACAGTCTCTGCTGAAATGGTTCAAAGTTTCTACTGTGTTTCTTCATTTAAAGTACTTCATTGAATGTACTGAGAATTGCAGATTCTGAGAAATTGTTTATAAAAAATAACTTGAACCAGGTCACACTGGGATACTTGAAATATTTAAAAAAATTTTAAAATAATTAAATTCAGGTTCAATATTCACACGATCAGGAAAATATAAAAATGATTTCTCTAGTTTGTTTGAAATTTTCCTGAAAATCAATTGGATTTATTTCAAGCTGCCTGAGGTTTTATGCGATTAAATATTATCAGCTACCGTTAAAATCTTTAAAACGCTTTTCAAATTGTTGAGCTGCAAACAAATATTCCACCTCTCAATTTAACACAATCTAACAAAACTGGGCAACATTGGTTGAAAATATTTGTTTTTTGCCATTTCATTATAAAATTAAATTTATTATTAATTGAGTGATTAATAATAAAATCAACAACGCCTTATTCAGAGACATTGTATTTTTAGCTACAAATGTTGGACTTAATCAACACATAATTTTTGTGGCCAAAAATATACCAACCACAGTACCATATAGCCTCAAAACCAGCAAAATTAATTAGTCTGTTGGCGTTGTTGGCGGGTTTGATCTGGCAGCCGCGTTCATTTCCTTTCATCACTTCCTGTTCTCAGTGCTGAACCTCGTTTGCCGACCAACTTTCGGAATAATAATTCAGTGGTGTTTGTTTGTGCGTATGTGTGTGATGTGTGTGTAATTAATTGGTACAAGTTTATCACGTGATCAATGAATTGCATGATCAATCGCAATGTATAATGTTATAAGGTTCTAAAATTTTATCTACGTAAAGAATACCAGTTGGCCAGTTAGCTTCGAGTCTGAATGCTGTTGGTCATCATAAGAATTGGATCGTTTGCTAATAACTGCTTAATTTCATTCATTTTTATGAAATATCGGCTTGGCTCGGTGTCCGTTTTATTAGTGAAGAAGTTCGTGAGTCACCAGGAGCGCCAAGAACTTTAACCTATTTGATGACGACAAAGCGAGTTTTTACAGTTTAATTTGCTGACAACTAACTGGTAAACTAAAGCTCACATAACCAGAAAAACCAATAGGCGCAGCCAAAACATCTGCCCTTTAACCATATATATATATATATATATATATATATATATATATATATATATATATATATATATATAATTTCTTAATTAATTTTATTTTATAGTTTTTTGATTGCAAGGTGGTCTTCAGTCTTTTTTTTATGTAGTTCCCACGAGCGCACAGTTGTTTAGACATCATTCTGTGCTTACTAACTAATAAAGGATATTAATTTATTTTATGCTATTGATCCGCGCAACTATATTCAAGATATCAATAAACTAACATCGTTTATTTGAACACTGGAAACATGGTTTCTACAAAACAACATGCAACTCAATCCTTCCAAAACAAAATTCATCAAATTAGGAACATACCAGCACTTAAAAGAAATTAACAACATGACAGCATTCGAATCAAGCCACACATTCCCATTACTGTAAGCAATCAGGTGAAACTGAAAACACTTGGCATTATACTAAATTCCAAAGCTAAGTTTTGATAAGTATTAGTCACATCAGACCATTTTTGTCAACAACAGTAGCATCTTGTTTAATACGTTAAATACGTTGTTTAATCTTATCTAGATTAGATTATTGCAATAGTCTTTTATATGGCATCACACAACTACAAATGAAAAGACTTCAAACATTGATGAATAAAGTGCACGTGTTGCCCTAAACATTAAACTTCCAGCATGTCAGACCAACTCAATAAAAAATCATTGAAACTCTTCACTGGCTTCCAATCGAATTTCGGATCCAATTTAAAATTTCTACAACAACATTCAAGACACATTCAACACCACAGCCAATTTACTTAAGAGATCTAATCGCCATCAAAGAATCCAACAGAAACTTGCGTTCATCCATAGCACCTACAATAGTCAAACAACACGTGTCAACCAACATTGCTAACCGTGCTTTCCGTCATTCTTCACCATCAATTTGGAACACATTACCAGATCCTATTAGAACCTGTCCTTCACTGGCTACTTCTAAGAAAAAACTAAAACCTTCTTTTACTGTTTGCTATAATTGCAAATAACATTTAAACAACATCTCATCTACTATATCTAATTGTTTGGCTTTAAATGTAATCCCTATTTTATATCGTATATCGGGTTGCACTAGCTTGTCCGGCAAAGAGCGTTTCAGTTGCTTGCCCTTAGCGCTATATAATTTAAGTTATTATCATTATATACAGTGCACAGACGGCATGCTGACACACACATCTTATGTACGTGCCAGCATCTCATCGAACGCACAGTGAGTGATAGACATATTGAGTTTTAAACAGATGGCATTCGAACCAGGTCACCGCGCAATAACAGCGGTGCAGAACGTGACACTTTTACCGCCTGACCCATCTTGCAAGATGTTAATCGATGGAGGCAAGTCGAGAAGTACTTTCGAAAACATAAAAAAGGCATCTTTCTGGCACTGCAAAAAGTAAAATAAATTATTCTTTTTATATATAAAAAAAAATGTGAGTGATTTTCTTCATACACAACAAGGGAAGGCTGGATGGATACATGGAGAACAATCAATTAACAAATTAACAAAATGATATCTATAATGATATCCATAAAATATTAAGATATCGGATATAATTAACAGTACAATAGGTCTTAAATCAAAAATTTAAATAATTTAAATGAATTAATTCTTTGTACAGAAACGAAGTAATGAACATTGCTCAAGCGACTGATTTTCTCCCAACGTGTAACTTTAATTTTTGTTAAACGGCAAAATAATTGTTAATTTTCAACATGTCATCAGCGTTAGCGTTATGTTAACCATCAAAGTAGAAGAATTAATTTTTTAATGCGGTGATGTATAATATAAATGGGTTTATTCAGTTAATTATTTACAAACAAAATTTCAGTTTATCATTTTTAAGTTATAAAATTTAATTAAAAAATTGGAAAGAACTTTCAGACAATATGATTTTGGTGATTGTTTCATACTGATTCCACTGAGCCTACAAAAATTAGAAAAAACTAATTAATGAACAAAATTTAAAGTAAAAATATGATACATTTAAAAAAACAACAGAAAGCCGGCTACATCTTTTACTAAGCAAAATCACTTCAAATGGTAGTAAACACATGACAGTAATACTGATAAAAAAATTTCAGAATTACAAATTTTCAACTGAAATATTAAATTTTCTCACGATCAAACATCAAATGTTACAATAAATTTTTATTCATTCTCCCTATTTAAGCAGTTAAGGCATCCAGTGTATCCTCATCTTTTTTTGTAAAGATCTAAGACATGAAGATGTCACGGCAATTTTTAAAATCTGTCAACTGAAGTTTATTTAAAGGCAGTGCATAAATAACCAGTAATTTATCAGATTTTTGTGAAAATAAAAACATTTCATTTCCAAATTCAAAGAATAATAAAAACTTTTCTCGCTATCTGGAGACTGACTGCTGCCAGCATCTGAAATGAAAATATTTGCCTTACTTAACTAATTATTATATAGTCATTTAATTTCTGAAAGAAAAAAGTTTCATAGCGTAATTTTTTCAAAACGATTTTCGAAACTTATCTATCATTCAAGTGGCATATGGGGAATTTGTTTAAAAAAAAAATAAGAAACCTTAGCTAAAGACTGCCGTAAAATTTACTGTTTTAAATTTTATTCATGCCAGCAACAAGTGCCCAAATTAAAAATTTCATTTTTTCTAAGGCAAAATAGTTTCAGGAAAAATTTATTAGATACTTCAATGGAATGTTTGAAATAGATTGAAAACGATCGTCAGAAGAGTAAATCAGCGGGATCGGTTCAGGTGAAACAGCGAGTTAAAATGTCCTTCTACGATAGAAAGTAATAGCAGAGTAGTAATTATAATAAACTAAAACAGTAATTCAATGCAACATCGCCGCATATCTTAACAAGTATAAAATGTAAAAGTTGAACTTTCTGAGCTAAACCTCTTTTATCTAAAGCAAAAATGTCAGCATTCTTAAAAATTCTCTTCTTGTAGTACAACACAACAGCTCCGGTGATCATAATTATGAAGAAGAAGCTGAGACACAACGATATCCATACTGTCTTCCTTCTCCAGGCTTCAGAACTTTCCATAATGTCGAAAACTCTGCTGTCGCACGTCACAAACTGGTATAGGGTTATGACGTCTGAGTTGGATGATTGTTTAGTTGGTTATGATGGTTGAGTTGGATGATTGTGGTAGGTATTCTTTGAAACTATAAGAATGTGAATTGCTTAGAGGGTTTTTTGTATTAAATTTTAATTGTATAAAAAATAATTTTCATCCACATCTAAATTTTTGAAAACGAGTGTGTCGATACAAATAGGCAGAGCTCATGTGCGTATTTCTTTTGGCATGTTCTTTTGGCATTTTCTACTTATATAGTTTGGCGATGGATACAGAAAAACTACATGGAAAAAACTGGTATGAATAACAAGTCTGAATCCACTAACGAAACGACTGCAGCCTGCTACCCGCGACGTGAATCCCTGTTTGAAAAAAATTCATCATTGCTCAGAACAAAATTTAAAAACTATATACTAATTAGCAAAAAGTCGTAATTCACACGAGTATTAACTTTTCATGGAGTTCGTTACGACGATAAACAGCTCAGCAAGTACACTACTCGATGTTGTTTCGTCATCGAACGTATTGAACGCAGTGCAGCTGATTCTGTAGCGACCAGGGCGACTGAACGTGATGATGCTACCTGTAATGTTGTACGTAGCTGTTTCATCTGTAGGACCCGCCAGGACAGTAACATTCCAGAGCCATCTGCTGGCTGGAGGCGTTGAGACAGAGGTGCATGTTATTGGTTCGAAGACGACAGCCGTCAACTTGTCTAATGCCACATTCCTCACCTTTGCTAAAATGACATGAATGTATTTCGAAATTCAGAATCATTCATATTATTCTTGAATACATAGGATCGAGTTAACCAAAAATTATTACTCTACGATGAAAATTATTAACTTGTAATATGAATTTGCATACATTGACTCCAACGTGCAAAACAATGATCCCAAGTATAACAAACGACGTTTACAAAAATTTAATTCTGTCTCAACAAAAATTGTCTTTTACGAAACATCAGATAAAATAATTCAGGTTTAATTTTGCGAAATCAATAAGAGGGTAGCAATAAATTTCTCTTCATTGACATCACTCTTATCGTCGAGTTTATAACTGGAAATATATTACAGTTGGGTGTGTAAGACAAAAAACAATAAAAAAAAATAGCAGAAGAGATAAAACTTCTTCAGTAACTTTTGTGTCGCAAGCAAATGCGATATAAAAAAATATTCATATGCTTAACCGTAGTTTTCGTTGGGAATGGCTGAATCGAACAAAACAGTTATTTTGAAAAAGATTTTTAAAATATTTGAACTTCTAGTATTCATAATTTTTTTAATAATATTCTGCTAACAACTCTAAACTATAATAGAAGTTTGATTTTAAATAAACGTTTACTGGTCATGGAAGATTGTTGAGTTGTTCAAAATTCTTAAAAATTTTAAAAAATATTTTGTTTACTTTGAACGGAAAACAAACAATAGAATGTAAACTAAAAAGTTACTCCTAAAACGTCAGTGAGCAAGTCAGAAGCGAAAAGAATTACAATTCGTTATAAAGATATGTGTTTCTCTTTTGCCGCCATATTTATTGAACTATTCTTTTCTTTTTCTATATTTTAAAAAATATTTTAAAACAATGGAACAATATAATTATGTCTGATATAATCAAAACTGGGACTACAAAATCAATTTTTGTCCTGCTGCGGTCCACGTTGAGCAAATATTCAACAGTCTTCAAACCGTAGTTTTAGCACACGATGATAAGGTGATACGTGACAAATTATAATGGTTCAGAAAAATATTTTTAAAAGTCTAATTTTAAATGATTTAATAATGGAGGCTTGTAAAGTTATTCTCGATAATGAATTGGTCGACAAATTTCCAACGTTTGTGGCCGGTGAATTTTAGAAAATTGTTAGAATTGAATTTGCTGTGAACGATTGTTTGGAAAAGACAAAAAACACGAAAATTTTAAAAAGAAAAGACAAGAAAATTTGAACGACAGAAAACCAGCCATGGTTTGCCTTACTTCATGGCATACATTAGTACAAAGGCTCACTAACCTCCCAGCTGTAAACGTATCCAGAAATGTACTGCGACCAAAATCTAGTACGATCGAATGTGATAATAATCATGAAGCGCCCAATAAAAGTTTGAAACTTGGAGTTTCCAAATCAAATTTGTTCTTTTCAGCCTAACCCAATAATTAATACTATACATGTGAGTTTCTTAACTAAAGACAATTGATCATGTTGATTTACAATAGCTCTGAAAAAAAATAAAAAATTAATTAATTAAATTAAGATTAGATAAACACTTTTAATCTGCTTATAGAACTAAATAAAAAATTTAATAAATCATACAAACTCAGACAGGTACAATCATGCAGCACCTATTTTGCAATTTTTTTTTTGAAAAAATAAACGAACGAAAAAATTAATATTCTCAAAAACCTAATTTTGAATTTACTTGGGGACAGCAATTAATTTTTGCATTGGAAACCATTCCATTAAAAATAAACTCTCCAACACCTTCATTCAGCACTGTTTTGTTCATCTAATTATAATTATAACTGGAGACGAATCAAATTACAATTTATGACAATAATATTTCAATGATTCAAAGTTTCAACAACGCATTAGACAAGCATTTTCTTTCTAGTTGATGGCATTTGTGGGTAGGCCAAGAAGAAATATAATTGCATCAGTCACAGGGAAGTTTTGCTCTGTCAACTCAACACGTCAAAAAATTTACTGAAACTACACCAGATAGAGCAAATAATATTTGATCTCGTTCAGTTGAGGGCAAAAAAAAATTTACAAAAAAATATAGAAAATTATAAAATGATGGCCAGACAGGTCTAATCGGAAAGGTGAACTGAAATAAATTGTAAGTTGTGAGAGATTCAAAAAACCGTTCGTGAAGGCGATGGTAAGGGTTTTGCGAGGTTCGTACTTACTCGCATACATTCGCCGTGTTTGTGGACGAGTCGAGTCATCCAACGTTAACAATCATGGTCATGGAAATTGAAACTACTATTGAAGGTACCAATCTGAATATTATAGACCGGAGATCAATATAAATTCAATGGTCATTCTTGTTGTTGACCATGAACCGTGTGTTTGTACTGTAGTAGCTATGAAGTTATTATAAATCGCCCGATGCGAAGCATTTCGATAATTGTCATACAAAATTTTAAGGGTTCCGAGAAAATGAGTTAATTACTTTTCAAACTTTGCCACAGTCTTTTTAATTATCTCCAACGTCTATTTTCTGCAGTAAACAGCTCTGACTGACTATTGTTTGAAAAATCCCGACGGATTTATTTTGACATGTCGAGAAATAAATATAAATTCTAGTAATTCTTAATTTATTAACTTTTTTTTAAAAATTTTTATTATTTATAAAATTAACCAAATTAATGAATCAGATATGTATATAAATGTGTGAATTAAATTATTTTAAATAGGCAATTAAAAAAAACATTCATCAGCAAATTATCTTCGACAAATTTATTTTGACCGGTAAAATATATCGTTTTACGTACTTGTTTGAATTTGATCAAATTCCGAATTAGCGGATTTTACGAAATTCCAATTCTGAAACAATTCGAAGTATTTTGACAGACGCAGACTTCTATTGGACGACTAGCATTCGAACCAGTTCATCGTGCAATAACATGGCACTTCTGCCGTCTGAGCTAACTCGTCAAGTACTGTTGACGATTTTTTGTGTCCGTCTTGGCGTAGTTATGTTGAATTTAATGATCATGTTTACGTTTCGGTTTCCTAATTGGAGATATATTCTGAGACCTAACACACCAACCCAAACATTGAAACATCACAACAACCACACTCATCAAACAATAATGGTTCCTCGTCACACTGCGTTGTAAGGTAGCAATTAAAAGCGAGCCGACAACATGAAGGAGACACACTCACGAGCCGACATCCTGTTAGCAGCCATTCAAATTATAAAATGTTTCATTGTATATAAACATCACATCACAGAAGGCAGAGGCTTAATAGAATTATTTTCTACTGCTTTTTATTCAATTATTTCTTATTCAAAATGGCTTTTCAAATGAAACATTTTCAGACGAGTTTTTGTATCTTGTTGATATTGATTTGTTTCATAAAGTGTGAGTGAATTTTAGTTTAAAAGAATAATAAACGTTTCGTTATAGTAAATATGCCAAACTGTATAATTAAAGTTCTTAATAAAATGTTTTTTGTTTAATAATTAATAAAATTTAATATTGTAAAATTTTAGACAAAACTTGAATTATACAAGAATAAATACGTTGATTGTTAACTATTAACACTAGCAACACGAGCGGAACTGAAAAACATCGCCCTGCACAAAAGTGTCTTCATGAAGACTGCCTACATCATCTATCCAGGCTCCCATGCGGTGGACGGCAACCTGAACACCATGGCCCACACGACCAACGGAGAAAACTGGATGATCGTCGATCTAGCAGATGAGTACAGGATCCATTATGTCGTCGTGCATAACCGGGCAGATGCTTACTGTGTGTGGTTGCTATTTGTCTGTTTGTTTGTTTGTTTAATTGTTTGTTTGTTTGTTTGCTTGTTTGTTTGTTTGTTTGCTTGTTTATTTGACGGTGCAAAAATTACTGGTCTTTGATTTCATAATTAATTCTTCATGACAAACATTTTCTGTAGATCCAAATATATATAAAAAGTTTCGCCCAAATACAATTCAACCAAAAAATTTCAGAATTTGTTTGAAAGTTCCTTAATTATTATAAAAGCAGCCCTTTTATTTGCAAGAAACTACTTGTTCAAATCAGTTGACTATAGTAAGAACTGCTCAGGCGTTTTTAGTGTATGTGTCAAAAAAAAAACTTGAAATTAAACTGTACGCCAAAATAAACATCTTTAAAAATTTTCAATTACCAAAATTATGAAACATAATTTTCAGTCGAACAGTTGGATTACTTCAGCGTGGGACTGTTGGCGAGTTATGAGGAGGGTGAGCCGGAGAAGAACGAGTTGTGCGGCAGGTACCCCTACACGACGCCTGCCGGGGTGGCTGCCCGCCTCAACTGCACCTTATCAAAAACCAAATATCGCTACGTCACTTTGTTTGCCAACGAAGAGAAGGCGACTATCAGCATCATGGAGTTTGAAATATACGGCACTAGCAAAAGTTCGTTCTACTGTTTCAAAGCTATTGAATACATATCAAGATTTTTAATTCGTCACTGCTTGAATAGTTTCATACAATTATGTAAATTTGATCAATAAAAAAATTGAAGATAAACTTTAATGTTAAAAATTTTAATGAAAACAAACAAACAAACCTTTTAAAATTCGTTCCTTTCAAAGTTACATTTTTACAATTTAAGTCATTTCATTATAATTCCATTTCAAAACATTTACAAGTTGGTGTTCTACAATCCAGTTCACACTATGTTGCAATTTCATAAGTTGAACGATTGCCAAAAATTTCATAAATATATTCAATACTGCTGAATATGTATAAATGTACTTCTGGCCAACATCAGCCAACTTCATGGACCAACACATCGGTTGTTACAAAACATTGTCCGGCAGTGAAGTACATGTTGGAAGTTTTACCTTTGTGTACGAGTGTCAAGATATGTGCTCGTCATACTTGTACATGGCTATTCGTGTGAGTTTATCTGGGATTAGTTGGTTAGATGTTTAGTTGGCTGAACGGCTTACTGGCTGGCTGGCTGTTTGACTGGCTGGCTTGCTGATTGGCAGACTGGCCGGCTATCTGCTTATAATTTTTTTAATTATTTATTTCAGAAGGCAGGCGAATGTTATTGCGATGGAATTGTCGGTCAGGTTTCAACCCTAGCTTCCTGTGATTTAGAGTGTGCATTCGACGATAGCTCGTGCGGTTCCAACGACAAGTTCTCCGTGTATCTGGGTTTGTCCTTTATAATCCTCCTTGTTTTTTGTTCACTAAATTTTTTCAATCTCTCTGGTTCCGAAATAGAATTACCATTTGTTGAAATTTCTATTTATATAAAAACCAATGTATGAAACAGTGGCACAGCCAGCATACTGACTGAACAACTCTTTCATATTTTTAGCAAACCCCTTTAGGGAACCTAAATCACCAGCCCGGATTGGCGATAACTTTACTGAATTTCGATTATATTTGCTATATTGGCCAGTTTGTAAAATGTAAAGCTTCTTAATATTTGAATCAATTTTGATTAAATTTGAAATAAAATTAGTTTAATTTCACAAAGGTTTTTCGATAGAATTAGGCTTAAATATAATATAATATAGAATATAAGCACAAAAGTCAAAAATGAAAAATATCACCCAGCGGCCAAAAAAGACCAAAAGAGTGACACCGGCGTTTCAACCGCCACCATCGTCGGCATCATTATCAGCAACGTCCTTTTCCTCCTCATCATCATCATCATTTCGGCCGTGTGTTACTGCAGACGAAGACGTAAGTGAACCTGAGTTGAAATTTGTGTCGAGATGAAACACGAAATGTGCATCATCTAATTAAATTCACACACAACTTAACGAAAAGTTGGAAACAATACAAAATTATATAAGCAGCAACTGCAGCGGAAATAGCAAACAAATACATTCAGTAGTTAAAAAGTTAATCACCATCTCATCCTTTTCTTTTTGAAATGTCACTCAGGTCGAAAGAGATCTAACTTGAACACCTCGGTGATGTTTGGAAGGCCTGAAAAGAGCAGCGCCTGTTCGGATGAGTTCTACGAACAAATAGCGGAAGACCCAACATCGTCAGACTACACGAGCAAGCAGAATGTTTACGACAGGACGACCAACAATTGTGTGGCGGCTGAAACGCCATACACTGGACTGCAAAACAACTCCTACATTGATATACATTCGTAACGTAATGTTTATGAAATAATTTTTCCTATTAATCAAATGTATGTATTAGTTATTTTATTAATACTCACATTCACGCACCTTCACGCACTTATATGCGTGTAAGTAGGTTAGTAGGTAAGAAGGTCTCTGCCATCACAACGTTTTTCTTTGTAAACACACAATGAGTGATAAACATTTGCGACTTATCTGATTAATTCAATCAGATCTATTTAAAAATAAAAGAGCAATATAATTATTTCTGAAAAGAAGTTGAGTTGAAACTCCGTTAAATCGAAGGAAACACCAAACATTAGCAAATGAACGTTCAAATACAATCTGGTTCATCATTATAAAGTCCGTTTTGTTTTAAATATGAATTAATTAAACGATGTCTTGTTGGAAATAAATAACTTTTGAAGGATGGGTTACTCTGCGTCAGCTTATCTATTTCTTTACACCTTTTAAATATCTGTACGTAAACACGCGTGTATCAACGCATCCAACACATTGCATGTGCTAAGCGAGGATCTCGTTGCATTCGAGACTGGTCACTGCAGTATCACCGCCAGGAACCTCAATCATTCCACCATCTAACCAATGGCATACATTTTAATTTTCAAGTTAAAATTCTAATAAAAGTTGATAATTTCTAAAAAAAAGTTATGAAATCGGAAAATCGTTGAAATATTTTTGCCATTCGCAAATGTTCGTCGTTATAAAAACACGCAAGCAAGTTTAGAAGTTGATTGCATCATGAGTGAGACATTTGAACATATGTTTGAATGTTTAACAGTTTATTTAAAGTTACGAAAATGTACACAACTGTGAAAGGCATGTTGTTCGAGTAAATGTGTGTCGTCTAAACTGTGCATGCAACAATAAATAGGAAGAAATTTTACGTTGAATCTTTGATCGCACGAACGCGGAGTTTCAGTTCATTCGTGCCCGGTAATTTAAATTTCCAACCTTACAACCATTCAACAATTGCATCTCGTTTTCTCGCTACAATTTTAGGACTTCAATACAAAAACAATTATTTAGTAGACGGAATTTTACAATGTGAAAATTATTTGGCGCGTTAGTTATTTTACCGAATGTGTGCGTGTGTGCGCGCGCGTGTGTGTGTGACTTAGGAAACCGCACCAAATTTAAAGCCTTGCTTGAATGTTTGAAGTTTTAATTAGGAGGAAGCAAATTAAAGAACGCCGTGTTGATAAGCAGGCACAAATGTTCGGTACGGTAGAGAAAAGATACGTCGTATTTAACAGCGGGACAAAACTTTGAATATCGGATTTGGTGTATCTAAAAATATGCCTGGAATCTGTAGCGAAAGCGGGAATGTTCCATAAAATTTGAATTGTATATTGTTTTGAAAATATCCTTAATTGAAATAACTGAAAATGTGGTTTATTGCAATTTTATTAGCAATCTTCTCACTGTCATCATCCTCCAACTTGCTGGCCTCAGCAGTTGACAAGAAGTATGAAATGATAGGAGAGCCAAACAATCCCATGTGTTTTGCTTCCAAACCTGCCGCAGTACTAACCAACATACGATCGTTACTGGAATGTTCTGCCAAATGTTCTCACTATGTTTCTCCGACTGATGATAGCATCACTTGTGCGGGTTCAGGTACACGTCCAATAACGCTAGTGATCCAGCTAAATATTGCCAACTGTTTCGTTTCACTGGCAAAATTAACTGTAATAATAGTCTGAATAAAACTGGTTTCCTAGCTTACTGGGTGGGTCTGTTGTGTTTTGTTTGAATTTGTTTCCACTTACGAAATGAATTTTTTAATATTTCATTTTATTTTAATGAACTTTTAATGCAGGATAAAACAACCAAACAGTCTACATGTTAGTGAACATTTTTGAACTCTAACAATTTTATCTAAAAAATTTTTTGTCATTATTTTTGCTTTTTGCAAAAAAATCTTGAAAATGAGTTTCGAACTCAACTTTTTAAAATTAAGAATTGATGAAGAAGAAATTTTGTTGAGATTTAAAAATGTGTATTTCAGTTTCATCGAGCTAATGCCTCCTGCCTGAGCTGCTACGTACCTATATAAGAATACGTTATGCGAGTGGCTATGTATGTACATGTGGACGGTAAACTTTATTGGCACAAAAGTCTAGTTATTATTAATTAGAAATAAGACTTTGAGTTCTTTGAATCGATGTTTTTTTTACATTGGAGTTTAGTTTTATTGATAGAAAGAAAAATAATGACAACTGATGTACAATGCTTTCTATCCAGAGACATAATAATAATTTATGCCAGAAACTTAGTGAAAATTTTTATAATCAACTAACATAGACGGTTCGCCAGCAACCAATTATTCTCTGACCCCGAGCAAATCCTGCAACTTTCCATTTACTTTAAACGGTGGATTGTTCTACTCTTGTTCCAACTCACTACCTGGCATCAACAATCCTTGTGCTTTCTACATGTGCCTCACTGCTAACAGGCAGTTGTCCATCTGTCTCGATCCACAAGGTTATTGATGAAACATTTTATTTATCATCCAAATAAAGTAATGATGACAAAAAAGCATTGTGGAAAGTTATTCTCATGCGAATACTTGAAAATAATTTTTTTTGTATATCTAATGCATAATACTTTTCGTATTTAAACACCAGCCTACAGCGCAGCCAACGAAACAATCCTGTTGGACATTCCAACGTTTGCTAACTCAACTCCTGTTACGTCTGTCAATGGATGGATTGTCATTCAGCAGAGGATTGATGGCTTGCAGAGTTTCAACCTGAGTTGGAGTGCGTACAAGGTTTTTAGTATACTAATTTTTACCGCTGAATACTTGTTAAATTTAATTTTTTTAATGAATCAAAAGTCAGGTTTTGGAAGTTACTTCAAAAGTTTCTGGATGGGCTTGGAGAAGATGCACCAATTAACGACATCGGCTGATTACAGGTTGAGATTCGAAGTTCTTCTCAATGGTTCTTGGTACTCCGATGAATATGATCATTTCAAGGTAAGTTGATTGCAAGCAAATAATTTTCACACAAAATATTTGTTTTCATTTGCCTATTTTTACAAATTTCTGCAAAACTTTATTCATATGCTTTTTTATAGTTAGAATTTTCAGTATTTGAACCATTTTTAGCTAAAAAGTAGTTTTTGTTAATTTTTTATTATAAAATCAACCCTAGATCAGTTCTGAGCTTGAAAAGTATTCCCTAAATGTTTCTGGATACAGTGGGGATAAGTCCGATGTTTTAGACAACCACAACGGAATGAAGTTCTCAACTCCGGATCAGGATAACGATGTATACGGCAGCGGTAATTGTGCTCTAATGTTTTTATCTGGAAATTGGTATAAGGAGTGTTACACCCAAAACATAAATGGGCCGTATGGTAAAGCTGAATTCTATTATGTAAGGCCTCTCACTTACTGTAGGATGATGATCAAGCGAAACGTGTAAGGAGCATGTTTACAGCAATAAATTAATTTCGGACGCTTTTGCATCTGTCCTAAAAAGTTACCTATTTAATATTCTTTTATTCTTTTTTTTATCCTTCTAATCCTTTTTATTCATTTTCTCATAGAAACAAATTTTCACAACAACTACTCTATCTGGCCTTGTGTCATGTATTTCAAAACATTTTTTCTCAAAGAATTTAAATAATAAATGTTAACACCTTATTTATACAATCATAATTGTAAAGCTTTTTCAGTTTTGTTGAAATAAAGTTTGAATTATTACGATTTTTATGATCAAATAATAATTATTGAGATATAGATATTCAAGTTTTTGACGGTTTACTACTTTTATTTCTTTTTAATGTATATAAATTTTTATTATTATCTGCATTTGAAAAATTAATCTATAAAATATATATATATTATCATTTATAAAATAAGTCAAACTTGATTCAAGCTTCTCAGAAATGTGCAACTATGCTTATTTAAATCAAATCATGACCTTTTATTCATTTTATGTAGAGTAGGATCATCTCATGTTAAATATATACTTACTTTTTTCAACGTGAATTTTGTGCAATTTGTAATATTTAATTTTTTGATAACTTTTAAGAATATAAAATCGAATAAAAACGATTAATATTTTTGTTTAGATGCTTTCTGTACTTTATACCAGTCAGAAATATACACATTTTTCATGTTATTTCAAATATTTCATGCATGATTTTAAATCTGTCATCATTATTAATATCAAATCTTTTTATATGATCTGTATGGATAATATGAATCAATGATTAAGTTTGGAAAGATGATTTAAACTATAATCTCATTAGAAATGATTGATTGCCTATCTTAAATAAAAGCAGAGGAGGGACTTTTTTTAGTAACCATGCTTTTTACTACTGTTATTAAAATAAATGTTCTATGGTCTCCAGGAGACCGAAAGTATAACTTCAATATAAAAAAGGTCATTCACGATAACGGAAAAGCAATTTCAACATAAGCTTGAGTAAAAAACACTGCTTTAATTAAAAAAAAGAACATACCGGTATATCTGTGCAGTCGAACCATGTTTCCGCTAAGTCGAACCAGGCGTCTTTAAACATTAGACTATCACTAATCTGTTAATTTAAAAAATAAATTTTAATTACACTAAATGAACCATTTCATTTATTCATTTCGTCACAAAGTTTAAAAAATTTTGAAATTTTGCAAATTGTAAAGGCGGTTCTTTGCTTTCTTTAAATTTAAAAAAAATTTGCTGTACATGTTACTAATATTTTACTATTTTTACAAATGTAATATTAATATCAGTAGCAATAAGGCAGCAGTGACACAACTACTATTAGTAATAGTAATAATAATAGTAATCAAATGAACCCGTCCTAAATGCGTTTAAATTGTAAAAGTTTCAATTTTATCCAAAGCCTTGCCGGGGTATGTAATTTTACTTCTCACTCGTTTATTGTTTTGTGTCTCTGTGTGTTTGTTTGTTTGTGTGTACGTATTTGTGCGTGCGTGCGTGTGTGTTTTGTGCTAATTTTTTCATAATTCAGGAGAACTTTTTAAAAAAATTTAACCCATGTAATACTTAATTTTAAAAAGTTTTAAATATTATATAGATTAAAATTATCGTTAGTAGTGACGTTTATAATAATTTAATTCTAATGTAATTATGTTATTATTTGCTCCTTACAATAAATTCTTGAATCTTTTTCAGAGGTAGGTATTCATTGAGAACATCAAACCCGCACCACCGCCCAGTAGCTTTAACGTTAATTGCTCAATTACTTCTAACTTTTCCAGTGTAAATTTTGATTGAAATACGCCGAATGAACCTGCCACTCAATTATTCATCACGTCAGTTGGATTTAAAAATTTTGAAATTAAAATTTTTTTACAGGTGTATGACAACCTGGAAACTGGAAAAACGTCAACAACAGACACAAAACTAAACTTTCATGAAACTCAGATTCATTTGTTGAGTCTCTTTCTCCCTCTTTTTCTCTTTCTTCCGCTCTTTCTTCTCTCTCTCTCTCTCTCTCTATGTTTAAAATCAAAAATACCTGGAAACATCACAAAACAACAACATACAAAACCAAAAATATTCGATAAAACTCAAGTCATCCGTCGAGTGTCTCTTTCATTTTTATCTCTTTCTCTCTATCTGTCCTCTTCTTTTTTCATTTTATGTTTTTCTCTCCTTCTCTATTTTTCACTGTTTTCATTCTACTTGAAAATATCTGAAAACAACACAGCAACCCGCAAAACCAAAAGTCCCCCATTTAGTCTCTCAATCTCTCCTCTATTTTATTTTTTATCGTTTTTCTAACTTTAACAATAACAACAAGAATAATAAAAACAACCAGCAGTAATAATAATAATTATAATGATTAATATATTTCCAATTAAATTTCATTCAAAAATATTATACATAGTACATACACAGACAATTCGGTGCACTGTTGATATTGTTATAAACTTCTGACTATCCCACTTCTGACACCAGCTGTTATAACCGACCCCTTGAACTAGTAGGTGCGGTTATTAATCTCTACGTGAATTCTTGACTCCTGAGCAGACTTATTTCGGATGGACTTTATCAAAAAGAAAGCAGTGCTGGCAATCACTTGTGTGTATTGCTGTGATCAATCACCCGTTTATTCAATCGTTAAATTCTTTAGAATACAGCACAATAGCTAACCAACAGGCAAATCGCGGAATACAACTAATCGTCAATATTAAGCTTCTCTCATCAGACTTATTATATTGAGTTCTCTAGTCCTGGTATTCTTTACTGCAGTGAGTTTCCAGCTATTCAAATCTTACCTCTGTCACCAGTGTGTAACCTCCTGAAGATCCCACTTCTAACACCAGTATTGTAACCTCTTCGACCTCGTAACTACCAACACCGATGTTATAGCTTCAACACTCGCTATATCTCCAACACCGTGTTGTAGCTCCCAACGATAGTCAAGAGTTCGTTTATCGGTAGGTTCAAGATTTCCGATAGACGAACTCAACTACTTTAAACGCAAACTAAGTTGAACGTTTATTTAATGCCAGCAGTAATAGAAACAATAAATTAATCCAATTAATCACGTAAATCACATTTACGACTTCTACGTCAACTGTTGTTCCGTCTTCTTCTTCCCTGTCCTCCTCTTTCTCCTCTCGAAATTCGCTTCTGCGTTGTTTTATATAGCTACCGATCTGCTTGTAAATGTGTCACGTAAATAAATGAATTTTACAACCATCTTAATTACTTAATAAGATAAATCCAATTTTAAATTTGGTCACGCATGCTTTTAAAGTAAATTTATTAAATTGATTCAATTTACAATTTTGTCGCTTATATTGTTCAGACCGTTTATAGAGCCATAATGCAAGCATATCTCAATCTTACAATACATAAATTGGATAATGAACGAACCTTAATAACACAATGTAACAGATAACGACTAACCTCTGTTATCTGTGAAGCTAGTTAAAATCGTTTAATTGTTTAAAATACGACTGTTTATCGAAACATGGGTATTATGGCAAAAACATTTTCAAAATTTAATTTTTCTTTTATTGTATTTAAGTCATTTAAAAAATAACTTTCATTCTAATCTTATTGAAAAATTGATAGAAATTATTTTTGTTGCTGTTCAAAGAGTTTGTTGTAAGCGTCCACGAAATCTTTTCCATATTCAAACATGTTTGCTACTTTGTGGTAAATGGGAATCTCTGAAGATTTGCAAGGTTTGATCAGGGTTAAAATAATTAGAATACGCAAGATTAAAACTCATGTATTGAAAAATTTTATTTAAAAAATTATTTTAAGTATTTCTAAAATTTCGGAAACATTTAAAAGTTTGTCTTAGCTGTGAGTTCATTTGTGCCGTATTAATTGCAATATGTGCAAGTGATGATAATAATGTTTATAATTAATGACTTAAAATTAGTTTATTTTACGTTACAAAAAAAATGAATTTGCGAGTAGAAAATTTACTTTCGTCCAGAAGATCCTCCATGTTTTCGTTCAGTTTTGCAGCGTTGTCAACGAAGTCTTCTGCACCCTCCATCAAATCGTCTGATACTGGCAAGTCATCGTCTGCAGAAATTTTTATTTCATTTTGATTTTTTAGCAAATCATTTTCATCATTTTATAATAATAAATAGAGCCACAATTGCATATGTTTCAATAGCAGCCTGGTATATTCAGCAACAGTTTCAAAGGAGGCTCTGCTTGGCAAAGCAATCAGTGGAATGGACCGTCAAAATGTGCTTAACAAGTTTGCTCTCACTAGCTCTTTTCAATCTATAGCGTTTCCGTCATTATTTTTGTTAATGCTTATCAGAGTATTAGAACAAAATTTTATGTTGAAAGACAAGCGTTTCCTGATTGTAATAACATTTTATCCAAGATATTCAAAAATTAATTAATTAAAATCAACCTGAACAGACAACAGCAAATAGTACAGAAAAAGTTGCCAAAACGCCGCAGACCACTTGAAACTTCATCGTGATGTTTTTCAAAAGTTTTAGAACCAATATTATTTCAAAATATTCTTTCCAATTTATACAATCGTTTTGCCATTTAGTTGACTGATTTATTTTAAAAAATGTCAAAATAAAATCAGTCAATCGTCTTTATCTATGTTGAATATTAATCGCTTTGTTAAAATTTTTATTTCATTAAATCAAAATTTCAAATCCAGGAACAGCAGCCTGTGTCAGGAGACAGTATTAAACTGCCTCGTCTTGGTCTAGGTCTATCCTCTCAATCTTTCTTTCTTCAGATGAATTAGTCATTCCACAATATATGTATCTGCAAGTATCTATTAATATGTAAGCGTCATGTATCTAATATTTAACGATGTATCTACGAGTATCATTTTATATCCTACGTTATTTAAAGCAAAAAAGGTAAATTTGAGTGAAACGTGATAATATTAAAATATTTTAAAAGGATGCAAGCGTCTATTTAATATTTTTGCGACCATGTGTTTTGTTTTGTGATTTATAATATCAGTTCAATGATAATGAATTAAAAACTTTATTTAAAAAAATGATTTCGACGAAACGAAAATTTGTTCATTGATTAAATTAATTGATAGATTGAATGATTAATGATTGAATTTTTTATAAACAGTCTTAAATCTTTATATCGTAAAATAATAGACAAACGAATGAGACATTTTTATTACCAATAAATGTCATCCGCAATATAGATAATTTGTTATCCAGACAGATTTATTTCTTACTCAAAAAAATGATAAATAAAATTTTTTATCATTTCATAAAATTATACATCTTACAAAAAATATTCGCAACAAAAAATCTTTAAGTGGATGGGCGACGAGTTGCGTGCATTGCGCGATCTGCACTCCTGCACGCTCGTCAAAATTCTGCCGACCATGACCACAAAAGTTCTCCTCATCTCATGTTTCGTCTGTTTGGCTTCCATGTTAAATTCCATTTTATTTCATTCATTTTTTTTGTAAAATATAAAATTAATTTTTAATAGTTGTTTTTCATTGTTTGTAACAAGGTAAGGAAGTCGAATTGACTGTTACTTTATTTTTAGTTTTCTTCCTACTTGAAAGTCGCCTAACTTGTCAACGGCATTATTTTTAATTAATATTTACTTAAAGCTGAATACAAAATTTATTCATTTTTATTTTTTTCATCATATTATAAACAGAACTTTTGTGATCTCTGCAAAATTTGTTTAATGAAGTTCCAGTTTCAAAAACTCAACCGAAATAAGATAAATGTTTAAATACAAAGTCCTCAAATAAAAATGAAAACTTTTAAAAATGTCCATGATTGCCATTCTGCACGAACCTTTACTTGGTTTATATATATAGAATTGTTAATTCTAATATTTTAATAGTCCAAATATCATTTCAAATTTCAACTAAATGAATTCTGCAGACGTTAATTCGGCTCAAGCTGTTGACATAGCAATCAACCACCAGGAGCAGGCCCTGATGACTAAACTCACGGAAATCACGATTGCAATTCAATCCAAAATTCAAGGCCGCATAGATGCAAGTGAAGACCAAATAGAAAAAGTTAGTGTCGGAGTAAATATGCTACATTATCTGGAAAAGTTCATGAAGAAAGTTGACAGCAGCTCAGTGGGATCTGCTCACGTTGAAATAGACGCAGGTATGAGCACCATTACCAGCTCATTGGAGCTCTCTGGAAAGGTGCTACAGCAACTGTCGAATGACTTGGCATTTGATAAGGCTTGGTACGAAGGAAACGAACAAGCTATTGCTTTCTCAAAACAAAGCATTGAAATTGTTTCGGACGAAGTTCCTGTTATTAAATCAGAAAATTGAAAATTTTAATTATCTGAGTTGATAAAAGTTCAATATTTGGCATTTGTTAACGGATCTGTTGAATTTTATATTCTACGATTTAAGTCGCAAATAAAGACTTCTGATAAATACCTGTCATGTTTTTTTTATCATTTTTAAACACCAAACAAATTTTAACAAAAGCTTCAAATTATAATTCGGCAAATTACGAAACACCAGTTGCCGGAGCCTGCATCGGCGAATAAATGTGTCTTCAGCAAATCCTTGAAAGCCGACAGTGACGCGCAGCTTCTAAGCCGCGCCGGCAGATCTTTCTACACACGCGAAGCTGCAAGGCAAAAACCGCGACCGGCAAAATGTAACCTAGCTACTTGAATGTTTAAAAAGGAGGAAGATGATAGACGTGAGTTCTTTCATGTTTATGGCATGATATTAGAATGGAAAGATAATTGAACAAAAGTGTTAGGATCCATTGTAATTGAAACTAAAGAATCGATTAATAAGTAATAAATAGTAAATAAACTACTTCTCCACCACCTACGGTTGAGGTTAAGAGCAGATCTCAAGACCACCCTGTTCGCGAAATTCATTGAGGAGCGCTGTTGAACATCGTTGAAATGGCGCGTTAAAAAGAAATTGATTGATTGATTCTCTTCATTTTTTTCGTAATCATCGAATTTTTCTCATAAAAATTCGAACGACTCCAAAGTGAATTGTAAATTATAACTGCAGTGCAGACGTTAAATCAGTGTCCACTTTTTTGAAGTTTGGCGTAAGATTTATTCATGTTCAGACATTTCAAAACGTATCAACATAGTTCTACCATTATTCCGGTTTCGAGAAAGCTCAAATTAGCAAAAACTCCTCTAAATAAATATTTAAATATTTTCCTACAAATCTGTTTCCATATCCAACTTCGTCGTCCAGCAAATACGCATTAGGTATTATAAATGTTAGGATTAACAGTTTGGCCTTTAAATAAAACTTTTGGCAACATGAACAAATGTAAACATTGGAATAGCTCTTTAATTTTTTATTTATTTTATTTATAATTAAATTTAAAATAATTCCGAATTAAATAAATAAATTATTTAAAAATGGCCACTCGAAGTCTGACGGAAGCCTTCGTGTTGATGCGTAATAACGCACTTCAGAACAAACATTTGTTCTCCGATCAGCACAACACAGTACTTTTTTTTTATTAATTAATTTTTCAATTAAATAATTTAATTTTAATTTAATGAAGATTCAGTTATTAATTAGTAAATTTATTTTTTTATTTTATGTTAAATTCAATAACTAATAATAAGCCTCTCTGCAGTAAGTAATATGTAATTATAATATAATTTATAATATAATTATTATATTATTATATCATAATATAAATAGTTTCATTAAATATTAGTGATATTCAGTTTTTTTAAAGTATTTAGGTTTTGGACTTTAGGTAAACACAATACAGTGACACCAATGTTTTCCATTTTTAAGTAAAAAATTCATGTGGTTGTTAGTAAGCAAAAAAATGTCGCCAGTCCTGATTTCGCCCATTTTAGTGAGCATTTGGTTAGTTCCTTGGCCTCGTCAAATTTCAAAATATTTCACGTTGTCTCAAACTGCCATCGTTACTAATAATAAGAAAATAAAAAATAAACCCCTAACTAATTAAATTTTTTTTTTTAATCTATTTACACAACACAGAAACATGCCTACACACACATACACAACACACACACACCTATATATAATATATATAAATTTATCAGATTAAAATATTTTTCTTACATTTTTACCCTACAGACCATGGCATTAAAAAATAGAATATTTTTCACTTTTTTTCAACAGCACACTACTAACATAAATAGATAAATAAACAGATAACTAAGTGAGTGAATAGATAAACAAGCAAACAAACAAACAGAAACAGATAAAAAAAAATTTAAATGTTTCCAGAGAAATGAAGATAAGAAGGCATTAGTTTCGAAGGACGAGACGGATGTTGAACTGGGAAACAGTGCTGATGAGGCCAACACGTACATGTCCACACAATGGTTTTCAACTATTTCCTTATTTCATTTTATTTTAATATTATTGTAATTATTTTAATGGTAATATATAAATTCTCACAAAATATTTTAAATACGTTTCATTATTATTTATTTTCTTAGATTAGATAGACATTTTTTTTATTATTATCCATGTTGTTATTGTTGTTACTGTTATTTGTTCATGTTTGTGTATAGGACGTTGTCATGTTTATACATTGCAGGTAAGGTAATGTAATATGATTAATGTGTGTTTGCCAGTAAGTGAGTGAACGAACGAATGAGTGAATGAATGGATGAATGAATGAATGAATGAATAAATGAATAAATGAATGAAGGAACAAATGAATGAATGAGCGAATGAATGAATGAGCGAATGAATATCTAAGTTTAATTAATATTCACATTTATTTCCAATGGCATCGATGACACGCACACACATCACTTTTGAATATGCAAGATTGCACGCATCACTCACACACATTGCACGTGACAGACAGGGATTACCATGCTTTCGAACCGGGTCACTACAACTGTTTTACCAGCCATCTTAACCATTACACCAGCTCTCTTCTAAATTAAACATATGAATGTTTGATGATTGGATAATGAGATAACAATCTGTCGATATTTTTTTTAAACAACAGGTCCAGTAAGATCGAAGAGGTAATTTTCATTCATCATTTTTTGTCTGTTTTTTGTGCCACTTAATTTTTTTTTTCAATTTTACCAATCATAAACTGAAAATCTTATGAAGATATAGTTTTATATATAAAGAAGGTCTTATAAAATCACACAAAGTCTTGTCAAGTTATGAAAAATCATTAAACGTTTTGCCAAGCCATGTAAATTCAATAATACGATTTCTCCCCATTAATTTTCCAAAATTTGTTTTGTTGCCAGCAAAGAAATTATTCATGTCTTCTTGGTCACTGATTTGGTCTGCTTCTACATTTTGTCTCCCAATCATGTCTAGCAGATTACTATTACTAATTTAAGATTATTAAAATCATTGAAACGATACTCATAGTATATATATATACATATATATATATATATATATATATATATATATATATATATATATATATATTTACAATATTCTATAAATTCTACCGAATGTTTGGCGTTAATATGTTGATGATTGCATATATGCATTTATAAATTCTTTCCGGCATAAGTTTAGTTCATTCTTGACACTGCAATCAACATCACAGTGATCCCAATGATTCAACAATTCAGTTAGTTGATTTGACAAGTCTTGAACTACCTTCTTTTTAACTTCTAATTCTCGAAAGAGATGGAGCAGTCGCTGCTCGCGATCTTGTTCGATTGTTAGATTACGTCGGTTGGTTGCAGAACTTCGAGTAAATGTTGGTAATAGACCATAATTTTTACAATATCCTATAAATTCGACCAAATGTTTGGCGTTAATATGTTTGTAGTTCGTTTTTTCAATTTTTCTCACTAAAGTGTTTTGGTGAACGTTTAGTCTATTAAAATTCAAAATAAACTTATTTTCCGAATTCATGCTGAAGACCAAAGAAGATGACCAGCCAATAAAGAAACCTGACACCTAATTTCCATCTAAGTTCACTTTGACAAAGTCAATCTCCATCTAAATTCATTTTGACAAAATCAATATTTCCCTATATAAACAGCAGAAAGCACTGATGATGATTCATTCGGAATCGAAATATGGCCTTATTTGCAGCATGAATTCGGAAAATAAGTTTATTTTGAATTTTAATAAACTAAACGTTCACCAAAAAACTTTAGTGAGAAAAATCGAAAAAACGAACTACAAACATATTAACGCCAAACATTCGGTAGAATTTATAGAATATTGTAAAAATATACATACATATATATATATATATATATATATATATATATATATATATATACATGAGAAAACGCTTATGAAATTGTTTAATTAGCGCTTAATAAATGTTTCTTAATAATAATAATATATATATAATTTAATATAATATAGGATATTTTTTTTTCTCTAGGTGCAACTTGAAGTGTCAAGAATCAATGCAAAAAGTATTCAATCATGGATGTTTATTTTACAAAATTGAAATTCATTTAATGTATTTATATTTTCCCTACAATTCCTTTCCGTTTAACTTTTTATAAATATTTTGTATCTCATTTTTCAATTATTTTCTTAAACTTTTTATAAATTTTTTCACTGGTAATTCTATTTTTTTATGATTCTCACATGCACTCGTCCGCTTTCTGTCATATAATTTTTAAAAAGCACTGTAATAAAAACTATAAATTTTCTTATTTCTTGAAAATCTGTTGAGACTGAAAACCAGGTACAATTAAACAGAAATAAATGTTTTCCATAATAACTTACACTAGTTAGGAAGTTATCAGAACTGCACGACAAGCATTTGAACCGACCGACAATGGACGACAACATCCACGAAGAGAGACAGATCGAAGCACTCACACACGAGATCACAACCGTTTGTGTATTTGTATTTTATTGTTGTCTATATGTTTGTATCTCTGTGTTTGTTTGTGTTTCTTGCTATTTGTATGTTTGTATTACTGGGGTTGTTTGTTTGTGTTGTTGTTTGTATGTTTGTATTACTGTAGTTGTTGCTGGCTCTTTGTATGTTTGTCTTATTCCGGTTGATTTTCTATCTTGTTATTTGTGTATAAATGGTATCCATTTGTATATCGGTACTTAGTTTTGTATGTAAGAACTGTTAAAATTGCCAGTGTTGTTTGCTGGTTACATTCATAATTAATATTCTTAACCAATAAGCTCTGAGAAGTTCGTATACCTAGATGTTCATGTAATATTTTTCTTCTACCCTCTTCTTATATTCTTACTTCATCATCTAATTAATTCAACTCATTATCTAATTAATTCAATTCATCACCTAATTAGTTCAATTGAAATTATTCGTAGATGTTCCATAGGTGTCAGAAGTGCTTGCGCGAGATGGCGGGAATGTGTCGGGTGTCGTCAGGCAAGCAGGCGAGCATGGGTCAGAACGTTGTTTCCATGGTGGCAAGGTCTGATTCTTATTATCTTATTATGTGTATTAAGAATCTTCTTAGTTGATTGGTTGATTTTTCTGTGTCATACGCACACAAACACACACAACACATACATACATACATACATATATACACACACAACACACACATACATACATACATCCAACTGAATGCCGACATGTGCAATTAACGACGAATCAAAGTGTTAATCCATTTGTTACTTGATGTTTGACGGTTCAGTGTCACTCATCATGTTTTAGTTTTAACATACATACACACACACACACATACATACACGCACGCACACTCACGCCACACGCTAGTACGCACATTTACACACGCACACACACGCGCGCGCGCGTGTTTATACATACCGACATAACTTTTCTGTTTCTATTCATGTCATCTTCATTGGCGTCACCGAAATTTTTGGAGTTTGGTGAAATATGCATTTATACATATATAACCTCTTAATTCGGTATTGTCACGGTACGAACAGCCAGTTCAAGCTTTCAGTACATTATAAATATTGATGTAATATAATATATTATGTATTTTTTTAAAATATTTGTTATGTCTCGATCGAATTTTGAAGTACTAATTATTATTTTATCGAAGTTTCAGCAGTTCTGTGTTAGGTTTTTCACATTTTTGATACGTATGTATATATATATTTTATTATATTTATGTTTAGTAAGTTATTTTGTTCGTTAATTATATGCATATCGCTGCTTGTTATTTTGTTCGTTAATTATATGCATATCACTGCTTATTCATACATATTGTCACTGATCTCGTTAAAATTGAACGCCACAAAATGTCCTACAGAAAAGTACAGGATCTTTCAATAACATTTCGGTCATCTCAGTCTGCCTATCTCAAAAGTTGCTGCTTTTACAATATATAATATATTATGTAATGTAATAATAATGTAATGTAATAATGTATGTAATAATATAATGTAATAATGTTATGGGATAATGTAATGTAATAATGTAATGTAATAATGTAATGTAATATAGTAATGTATGTAATAATATAATGTAAAAATGTAATGTAATGTAGTATAATATAATGTAATAATGTAATGTAATGTAGCATTGTAATGTAGTAATGTATGTAATAATATAATGTAATGTAATAATGTATGCAATAATATAATGTAATAATGTAGTGTAAAGTAATAAAGTAATGTAATAAAGTAATGTAACAACGTATGTAATAATGTAATGTTATAATGTAAGTAGTATAATGTGTAAGTGTAATGTGTAATGTAATAATTTATGTAATAATATAATGTAATTTAATAATATAATGTAATAAGTAATGTAATAATGTAATGTAATGTAATAATGAAATGTAATAACGTATGTAATAATGTAATGTAATAGTGTAATGTAGTAATGTATGTAATAATGTAATGTAGTAATGTATGTAATAAAGTAATGTAATAATGATTGATCTACTCAAACTAAAAGTCAATGTAACTTTGATCAGAATTACACGTAAATGATTAATAAAAATAATCAAAAAAAATGAAAATAATTTTCAAGTTGTTAGTTGAATGAATTATAATTTTTCCATGGCAAAAAGAGCTACAAGGTCGAGAGGAGAGGCACAGCCAGTACCTGACGCCAAATGTTAACCTGTTCGAATTCGAAGAAAACCCAGTCGACGATTTTGTTAGCGTTCATTTCATCCATTTCCCTTTCCATATTTGTTCCATCTTTTACGAACAAAAATATTCTCAATTTATTATTTTTTTTATTTAATTTAAAATATTTAATGCTATTAATTTTGTTGGTAATAATTTGTTGATAATTGCTGAATAGTTTGTAAATAATTAGAATTGAAATAATTTAATATTATAATAATATAATTAGAATAATAGTTACGAATTAATTTGTACTTCTCAAACACCAACCAGCATTTCACGTCAGTTCAGAGGCAGGCCATAGAGGAGGACTCCATCCTGATAGAGCAGAGGGAGAAGGAGATACTTCAGATTGTCAGGTCCATACAAGACCTCAACGAGATATTCAAAGAACTTGCCGTCATGATCGTTGACCAGGTTGCGCCAATACTTACTGCCTCACAAAATACGTCATAATTTATTAATAATTATTATTATAATTATAATTGTGGGATAATCATTTATTTTTATCTTATTGATCCTCTCAAGTATTATATAATAATAATTATTGTTATAATAGTAATATGATCATAATATTTATATTAATAACGGATGGCGAGATGGTGTAAGGGTTAAGGTGTATGGTTTCGGTGTCCAGTGAGTGGGTTCGACTGCCAAGAGATCTCTCACAGCCTATCATTTTTCATTGGATGTCTTTACGCCTATTTTCGATACCTCGATTATTTTATAGAAATAATAATAGAGTTTTTTTTATTCATCAAAAAATCAGAATCCGACAGATGCAGAATCTGTTACAACGTGAATAGTATATTTAAAGCCATTCTTTACGTCAATATCTTTTCCATTGTGTCATTGTGATTTGCACACAAAAAACAACATTGAAGGGGATTTTGTCATAAACAAGTAAATGTTTATCGTCAGAATTCTTCGTTGAGTCTTAGGAGTCGTATTTGAATTCTAGAAAAGTTTATTGTAGAAAAATAAAAAATAGTTAATAGTTAAAAAATAAAAAATAGTTAATTGTTGTGAACATTTGATTACCTATTTGAATGAAAGTAGCTGTTTTATGGCGTGTGTTAAATCGTTGTACTAAATTTTTTTACCGTGTCCAATTCTTCATCCTTGAAGTTTGTTTCAATTTAAAACAATGGAGAGTGAGTTGGTCAGTTTGGTCGGTGATGTGAGGTCAACTGTTCTTGTTTCTTGGAAAACTGAACAGATGAATTTAAATTTCATATCAGTGACGATGATGTTATATGTTGGAGATGTTGAATTAAGGAATGTTGGTTGGATTTCTGTGGGTATCACTCATTTATTTACATACATAAACGTAATGAAAATTCGTTAAAGGATCGATCCTTCGGTATTTCCCAATTTGTGGTTCTTTTATTTTCTCCTTGATTCTATAAGAGGTTCTATATCTGTTATTTTTTCAGTTCGAGACAGTCGGAAATTTTTTTAGACCGTGGAATTCACTAACAAATAATTTTGTTGACGTCTTCTGAAAAAATGTGTGATCGGCAGTTTTATTTTGTAAACTAAGCGTGAATTGTGAATTTTTAAACGTTATTATCGTCAATAAAAGCTTGATAGCGAAGGAATTGAACCTGATAAATTCGCAACGCAGGGGACCATACTTGACCGGATAGATTACAACATAGAAAAATCAGCCGAACACGTAGAAAGTGGATTGGTGCAGTTACAGAAGGCGGAAAAATATCAGAAGAAGAACCGGAAGATGCATTGCATCGTCATCTTGTTTCTTGCGGTCATCATCCTCCTAGTCATTCTCGTTGCTATCAAGTCATGATTCTGTAATATTACACGCCATTCGCTAATAAATGAATATTCACTAAATGCGATTAGTGAGTTGCAATACAATTATTTTTCTTTCCCTGTTTTATTATTTGTATTTATTCAAAGAAGTGGATACGCTTTAATAATAATGTGTTTAGTTTTGGTTTGTCGTAAATTAAGTTTTAATTGAAAGTTCGTCCGAACCGGCCTAACCATTCCATTTCTACCACAGAGGGGTTTTGATGTTATTTTTAGTTTTGTCTCCCTTTACAAAGCTTGCTTAAAATCGGCTACCGCAATAACTGTCAAAAAGTCTTGCATTTAAAAATACATTAAAGATGAATTATTTTTATAGTGTTTTACTAAAACTCAAATTATTATTTTTTGGAAATTTGCAAAAAAAAAATTAAATAAATTTTATCCGATTTGTAACCATGAATGGACAATGTATCTTCAAATTTCGCGTTTTTTATTCAAACCTAATAAAATTCGCATCTATCCCTGAAATTAGCAAGCTGGAACTTCCAAGCTCTGAGTCGAACCAACCGACAAAAATTATTTAATGCCGACAACAAACAATTTGTTAACGTTCAAGTAATGTTCAATTTTTATGTCATTTAGTTGGAATAAAACACGAAAAAATGTATAAATTGAAAGAAATATTTTATTATTTTTTTTCAAATTAAAATTCTTTTTTTGTAAATTAGATGTGGTTCTTTCTTATGTTGCCTTCTTTTGTATTTGAAGACAGGAAAATATAATTATTTTTTAGCAGTTTCCAGAATTTCAACCTAACATAACGAATCACCACAAACAAATTAACACAACACAAACAATATAAAAATATCAAATGTTATAGAGGTTTCAAAGAAGGCGGGAATCATGCCGTCATTTTGTCAAATAAATGAAATTTAAGTTCCTGATCTTGATCAACCCAGTCCGGTTTTGAGCGGCTGCGTTGTGGGAGCTGCAACAGTTTTTTCATCTAGCTTATTCCAATGTTCAATTACTTTTGAGCTGAAATATCTTTTCTTTGTTGCTCTTACCCCTTTTTTAAAAAAAGCTTGTATTTTTGATCTTCTGTGCTACAACTTTCTGTAAAATATGGATAGATCTGTATCATTCTTGTTAGTTATGATTTTGTACGTCTGAATCAGATCTCAACTGGTCTTGCGTTTGTCTAAAATTGTAAATCCACAGTCCTGTAACCTTCACACACGAAGATCTCCTACGCCATTTTTCGAAATAAATCGCTCAGAAACAATTGTATAAATTGAAATAGAAATTTTGAAATAGTGTTCATTCGAAAGCTTTTGAGGAAGATCGCGCTGAAGTTTCAACTGATTTGCGGCGTTATGACAACTTTTGCTGTGCAACTTGCTGTTGTCTGTTCAGGTTGGTTTTAATTAATTAGTTTTTGAATTTTTAAAATTGAATTAAAAATGGTTTGAATTCACTGATAGAACGTTATTACAATCAGGAAACGCTTGTCTTTCAATTTAAAAATATGTTCTAATACTCTGATAAGCATTAACAAAAATAATGACAGAAATGCTATAGATTGAAAAGAGCCAGTGAGAGCAAACTTGTTAAGCACATTTAGACTGTCCATTCCACTGATTGCTTTGCCAAGCAGGGCCTGCTTTAAAACTGTGCTGAATGTACCAGCCACAAAATTATATTAAATTATTAATTTGATACCGTTTCATTTTAACAACTCCATCTTGTTATTGAATGATTTTCAATAACGAAGCGTGTGCTTTAATTTTCATTTCGCAAACTTCAAACGGGAATGAGTGAGAGTGTGTGAGTGAATGAGTGAGTGAGTTAGTGAGTGAGTAAGTGAGAGTGAGTGTGTGAGTGAGTGAGAGTGAGTGTGTGAGTGAGTGAATGAGTGAGTGAGTTAGTGAGTGAGTTAGTGAGTGAGTGAGTGTGTGAGTGAGTTAGACAAACTCTCATACTGGCGGACAAACGCAACCTCAAAGACATTGTTGCCTACATTCGAGTCAGCAAAGCAAGCATCAAAGACTGGCGAAAAGCTGCACCAAATTCGTGAAGAATGTTTGTGTCAAAGGATAGTTCTAGAACGGAAGGGTCAGGATTATGGCGCGCCAAAATGCTGGAATTGTGAAGAAAGAGGGCATCTACGACGAGATTGTAAACAACGCCCTAGAAACAATTACTGTCGTTTTGTGCATTAACATGGCACAAACAATTAGATGGTGACCCCGCATCACGACCGATTGCCTCAAACAAGGAGGCGAGAAACTATTTGAAAATAAATTTCGCGGGGCAGAAGTTGGCTGGTAGAATTGACGCCCCTAGTACCATGATTAAAATCTCCAGGCCACACTTTATAGGAACCTCCCACAACTATGTCGATGTTCTTTCAAGTTGACCGTGTTGCAAATACTGCAGTCGACTGGGAGAGAGAGTGCAAATGTGCGAAAAGTTGCGATTGGACGACATTGTCTACCGAATTGAAGAACATCGGAAGCCGCAGGGGAGAATGAAGATTGTTCATCTGGACAAACTGGCTCTATTCTATGCAGACGTTGCCACGAACTCTGTTCGGAATGAACTGAACTGATAAGAAGAAATTCTTTTCATTCATACGAAAATAGTGTACACCACAGTAAGCAACACAAAGTAAAAATTTTTGAACAATAAGCATTTCACACTTGTGTATATTTTTTGTAGTGTTAAATAAGCAGTTAAACAATATTAAAACTTCTCACTCATATTGCAACCAGCTTTAAAACTTGTTTTCAACTAGAACAATAGAACAGTTGTTTTATACGTTCAATCCATGCTAAAAAGGGCTTTTAATAGTAGGTTTGGTAGAATGTAGTAAAATTATCCAATTCGATCATGTCAAAAAATTATTTCGCCAGTTGAAGGTCAATAAACTGCCAACTTAAGAGAGGATGCAGGCTGAAGAAGTTATCGCAAATTTGAAGAGGTTGCTACCAAATGCAAACCTAACAACACCAAATAATGGGTTCGTTGTCATTAGAGTTCCCAAGATGAGCAGGATTGTAAGGAGGGTGACGATCACAAACTCCTTACATGCAAAGAGGAGGAAGAGTGTAGGTGTGATACCAGTGGCTTTATGTTCATCAGTAGCCTGGCTCATCACCTTCTCTTTTTTCACAACTGTTGTCATGATCAACAGAGGCTGTTTTATGTGCTTATGTTACGTTCATTTCAATTTGGTTATGAAAACAATTCTAAATCATTCTATGAAAAGCAGTGGTGAAAAAATTAATGTTATCATTTTCTTATATGATTATTCATTCACATGCCATATATGTATATTCATTCAAAATACACGTAGGCACAAAATTAAGGTTTATATGCTATTAAAATATATAATTTTTATTAATTAAACAATTTTTATAGCATTTTACAAACCGTCAGCAGACTCTAAAAACAAAACGATACGACATTAATTGATCAAAATGCAACGACAACTTTCAATCAGAATAACGTAACAGCAAGTTCAACAACAATTCTTACAACAGTTGTAGAAACAAAAATGTTGACAACAGTTGTTGTAACTACAGAACTTTTTACATCAACAACAATTGCAACAAGTGACGCGACGACTTTCACTAAATTGACAACGACTATGGTGAGAGACTTAGGGCCACTATTGTGATTCCTCCACACGCATCCAAATTGTTAGGGTTATTTATTTTTCATTATTACTGAACCTTATTTTAATATCTTCAAACCCTACAATTTTTTTACTTGATAAAGTTTTTTCTTAAAGTTTGATGTTTGATTTGAATCGATCGAAAATAAATTTCTAATAAATGCTTTTTTCTACCTTTTCACCAAATAATTCTAATTAGATTCGAAATTATTTTTTAAAAGCAGACAAGAACAAAAGTCATGTTGCATGTGTTGATTGGCAAAATTAAAATTCATGATTTACGAAGATATTTATTACAATTTTTGTGTTGAAACTTGCTATTAACTATTTTAACCATATCCATAATTTTAACTTTTATTTTATTTGTGTATATTTTTATATATTTATTAGATAAGGGCAAATGGACTTTTGGTTTGAACCCACCAATCATATTATGTTGTGTTATGTTGGGTTTTATGATGATGAACATTTGCTGACAGCAAAAAATATTTTAATGGTTTTCGATTTCATTATTTTATTGGAAAATTTTCAATTTTTGTTGGAAATTTAACTCGAAAAAAGTGTTTGCCATTGGGGCGAAGGTGTAACGGTTAAGGTGCCTGACTCCGATATTGCAGTGACCTGCTACGAATGCCTTACCGATTTTAAAAATTATTGTCGCTGGTGATACAGATACATGAAAAAGTTTCGGCATCTTATCGATATCAATAACCGACACAGCAGCCATTAACAACTACGATTAATGAATATAAAAAAATTGAAGTCAGCGTGCGTGAGGTTCCAATGAAAATGTTCGCCTATTCTAAAACATCAAAACTGAAGAACCGGATTACATCCGTTGTGAACACTGACAAATTTAATTTATTCATACAAAAACTTTGAAAATAAAAAATACCTACTCTTTAAAAACACAGGTAAACCTTGTTCGATTTACAAATAAAGTTTTTTGAAAACTCTACAAACAAAACCTAATTCGCCATCAGAGCGAATTGACTGGGACGATTTGCAGTGTCCTGAAACACTCTTCGTGCTTTGGGAAGTTTACATGAAGGTCTAATTGAACGTAATATCATGTTATTTGGTGAATATTACTCTTTGGTGATAGGTGAATAACTTTTAAAAGATTTTAAACTGTAACGAGAGTGACATTTAAGACAGATACTTCTCAGATACAGATACGGAATTGATACTTTAACTTTGTTAAAGTTTATATTAACATTAGCGTAGTCAAGTGTCAATATGACGAAACAATGTGCTCCATTGTTGAAGTTCTATAGTTCAGAAGGTGTAAAAATAGCAACATTGAGACTTTCGTAACGTTCAGGGTATTTATCAATGAAGTGTTTTCTTTCGTTGTACACTGTTAACTCTTGTTCCTTATGTTAATAATTTAGCAAACGTATGTTTTAAATTATGATTATGCTACGAGAAGCTCAAATTTAATGGCACATTAAAATATACGATGAAATTTGAAACAATGACATTATGCATTTTTCTGCATTCTGTAGGCTATTATTTTGAAAAATTTTAACATAAGACTCTAGTCGTTTAAAAAAATGTCAAATTTTGTGAACAATTAATTGTACCTGCGTTTTTACAAAATAATTGAAAGATTTTTAAAATAGTTGTTTTACGCACTACTAATAATTTTATTTGATTGTTTTAATTGCAATAAGGTGAACGAAATTTGAATTTTCAAACGTAGCCATCCTGATTTGAACTTCGATAAACTCTTGCTAGCACGATAACCCAACTTACTTTTAAAAAAGCATTTGCTCTTGTTATTTTTGTTTTTATGAAATTAAATTATTATCTGGTGTTTTACGTATAGTGAAAGTTATGATGCGATTTATTGCGCTGAGCGTTTCATTAATGAAATTAAATCGAATTGTTCGGCTGTGAATGTTGTTGGATAATGTGCTGCACAGTACAAGCAGAGCATGTTCAAGCGATCAAAGTTGAAGTCAGGGTAAATTTGTAAGTTATTTTATGAAGTTCTAGAATAATTTTTTATTACTGTGGTTGAAAAAATTTAATATCCAAGTTGTTAACTTGATTTTATCTTATTAAATAAATATGATAAATAATTAAATGAATTTTTTAAAATATTTAAAAATAATAGAAATATCATAAAAACGGTGTTACAAGTACGATTCGTATTGTTTGCTGTCAATTTAAATATAAAGTTCAAAATGTTTTAGACCTACTTCACGTTGCAACTCGATCGCCATCTACAACTTCCAATTTTGCATTTCTCCAACAGTTTCCAAAATCGTTAACAACACCTTGATGTAAGAATCTGAATTATTTTTCTGACGTTGTTTGCCGTGAGGATTTTTTCTTTTCACATTATTAGCGTTGCTGAAAATTTTTACTTCATTAGTTTTATATAGAATTAAATATTGTAATTCGCTCTGCTATGATCATGTTGATTCTACTGAATTCTTCACTCTGCTGCTCGTCTAGTTGCTCATGCTTCTATCTTTCCTCGTATATCTCCATCAGTGGCGTAACGAGGGGGGGGCAGAGGGGGACAGTTGTCCCCGGGCGCAGGGCTGGGGGGCACAATATCAGTGACCAAAATATCAGTGACCAAAAAGGTTTTTTTATTATTATTTTGCTTTACCTAGCAATTTCTGTGTCTGTCCTTTAGAACAGGTCAGTCACAGTGCAGTTAAAAGCTTGTATAGATTATGCTCTATAGTCTATAGTATAGTATCTTTGTGGTATAGCTGCATTGGGTTAGTCAGTATAGCTGCCTACAAATACCTGCTATTACCAGTGATGGGCATAGTTTAATTAAGTAGTTGCAAACTAATAGTTTAACTACTTTTTTTAGTTTTCTTCCTAGTTTAACTAAAAAAAATAGTTTAGTTAAAACGATAGTTTAACTAAAATATTTTAGTTGCTAACTAAATAGTTTAACTAAAATATTTTAGTTAAATATCTTTTATCCATGTCTTGACTTATGGTTTTTGAATATTAATTTTAATTTGTAAAAAGTTAAGCTTTCCATATTTTTAAAGCAAAGTACATTCAATGTTTTTGGTTTTTACCAATGTTTCGGACTGTTTGATGTCTTGTTTCCTCTCTGTGTTGAAGGTTGACGCTGATGGTTGGTTAGTTGTTTAATCTTTAAAATTTGTTGCTGTTTTGTTAAAAATATTTTAATAAATACATTTATGTAACTGTCTATATTCAATTAAGTTGGTTTTAAACACTAAATAATTTATTTGGCCTAAATTTTATGATGACAAGTTATGTTAGTTAATGATTTTATTTTATTGCATGATTTTATAATGCAGTTTAATACTTCACTTTGAAAAGACATGTTTTGAATAGTTTGTTATGTTAGTATTAATGCCACTTTAGATTATGTCTGTAAAAAAGTAAATATAAAAATAGTTGCAAAATAGTTGGAAAAAGTTTAACTACTTTTTTTTAGTTTAGTTAACTACTTTTTGAAAAAAGTTTATAACTATTAGTTTAACTACTTATTTTTAGTTGAAAAATAGTTATAGTTTAATTAAAAATATTTAGTTAGTTGCCTATCACTGCCCATCCCCTCCATATAAACGCCACTGGGCATTCACAGTAAACTGCTCAGGGATAAAATTAAGAAACTTGTATTAAAATTTACTAGAAAATTTAATTATTGTTAATTATATAAATAACTATTTATTAATATTGTGTATCCTATATAAAAGTTTTTCTTAATCCCAGATATGTTTGGAAAAAGGCCTAGTGGAGCTCAGCGAAGAAAAAGAAAGGCAAATGAAACAAGAGAAGCTAGTAAGTCCAGCAAACTCTTGGATTGTTTTTTGAAGAAGGCAAAGTCAACACCAGAAGAAAGCCAACAGCCTCAGGATACTGATGTTGATGAATTCAATGATCAACCAAGTGTACAGCAGAATCAGCAAAACATAGAGAACAGTAGCAGTTTATCAACTTCATCTAACTCTGAAGTAGAAGAAGAAAATGATATCATTTCTCATAGACCAAATCCAATTCCAGCTGTGCTTATGTTTGGGGATGTTGGCTATTTGGATTTTGACCAAACGTCACAATTGCCTATAATTTCTCAACAGCTCTGCACAGAAATGGTATCTCGAGGCTCTAATGTATTTCAAAATAATAATGGTCCATTTGCTAAGAAAGACGGCCGTTCTATGACGAAGCCATGGTTCAAGCGGAGACTTGCCAATGGAAAGGGAGATGAGGTGAATCGGGTCTGGCTAGTTTATTCACCATTGAATGAAGCAGTGTATTGTTTTTGCTGCTTGTTATTTCCCTCATCGAGTGCAAATAATAAATCATCTTTTGAATTATCTAATAGATTCAGCAAGTGGAGGAAGCCAGAGAAACTAGCGGCTCACGAGAACAATCCTTTCCACCGGAAATCATTTAATGCATGGAAAGAAGCAGAGCGCAGATTGATTCAAGGGAAAACAATCGATGCATCTCTTGAAGCTGAAATTCAGTCAGAGGTTGCACGATGGCAAGATGTTTTGAAGCGAATACTAAATTGTATAAAATTCTTGGCCACTCAAAACTTGGCATTGCGTGGACATATTGAGAAACTTGATGCCACAGGAGACAAAAATGTAGGAAACTTTTTGTCTGTTCTTCAACTTCTAGCTCAGTATGACCCAATTTTGCAGTCACACTTTGACCATGCTAGAAAGAATCCAGGATCTGTTACATATTTATCTCCAGAAATTCAGAATGAGTTCATCAGCATTCTTGCTTCGAATGTGAGAAATCAAGTGCTGATTAACATCAGAAAAAATAAATACTACGGGATTTTGTTTGATTCAACTCCTGACTTGGCACACAGGGAGCAAATGTCTGAAGTTATCAGGTATGTTGACATAAATTTTGATAAGAGGGAGGTTGTAATAAAAGAGAAATTCATGGAAAAGATGCAGCCTCGATTGAAGATGTTATCGTAAAAAGATTGGAATCTGACAACATCCCGTTACAAAATTGTAGATCTCAATGCTATGACAATGCAGCTGTTATGTCGGGGCATTTATCTGGAGTTCAGCAAAGAATTTGCACAAAAAATAACAAGGCATTGTTTGTCAATTGTGACAATCACATCTTAAACTTGTCAGGGGTGCATGCTGCAAGTCAAGATCCAATTGTAGTTACTTTTTTTGGCACCATTGAAAAAATTTATCTATTCTTTTCAAGATCAACCCATCGATGGGAAAAACTTAAAGAAGCAGTGACCATCACAGTCAAACGTGAATCAGAAACACGATGGAGTGCTAGAGCAGAATGTGTTGAAGCAATTCATGATGGACTTGATAACATAGTCAGTCTACTGGAAAAAATGTCTGAAGATACAACTGAAACACAAGAAGCTAGAGGCGATGCTGTAATTCTGCTACAAAGTATTCTTAGTTTCAACTTCTTAGTTTTCCTTCCTTTCTGGCATGACATACTCAAAAAAATCGACCGTGTTCAGAAAAGACTTCAAGATCCAACAATGAATTTCCATGAAGCGTCTTTGGATATTGAATCTCTGCACATGGATATTACAAGAATTTGTGAAGACATATGCAATGATTCAGTGCTAAAAGCAAAGGAAAAATGTGAGCTATGGGGTGTGGCTGTAGAAAGTAGAATCAGGCGACGGAGAAGGATGCCTGGAGAACTTGCCCGAGATGCAGGACTTTCGGCAGAAGAAGAAATTGTTCGTATCATGAAGAGTATTTTAGATCGACTCGAACAGGAGATGACAACAAGGTTTACTCGTCTCAAAGATCTGAACTTCAAATTCGGATTCTTACTTGACGTAGACAAACTTTTGAATGACAAAGATCTTAACAGTCTCCGTCAGCATTGTATTGACTTTGGAATTTTTATGACTCGGATGTTGAAGGAATTGAGTTATTAAATGAAATATGTGAC